GGCTTGTTTTACAACGTCGTTGCCAAGCGACGAAAACCCAATCCCGATGGCAAACACCGGGGGAGGGTCATCCTGCTACGGGGGGGAATAAAAAGCCATGAGACAGAGGGCACGCTGGCTCTCCCGGCGCAAGGCCCTATGAACATGGATTTGCCCATCCACAGCTTTGGTTGTGAATTCCGGGCGCTTGCGTGTGTGTTTTTATCCTCCGAAGACTTCTAAGTTAGCCGGTTCCTGCTTGGCTCGACTCTTGCAGTGCTCGACTCGCCCGACTTCTACTGGCGTCTCCCTTGACCCAGAGCCGTGTGCGTACGTGGTGTGCGGGCGTAGGCCGACGGACGCCACCATTTTCTTTTCGGCCCGCGTGCGAACACAGGCGAAACAGAAAGATACAGCGCCCCCAAAGACGATGCTCTCTCCCTCATGTTACTGTACGTCGTTTCTGTGTCTTTCCCCTCTTTGGGATTCGTTATTTTTCCCGTCCATTTGGTTTGACTGGCGTGACTCGTTTCGCCCCGTTGTGCTGCTCCGCCACGACGGCACGACACGCCTGTCTGGCGCGACTACCGAGCAGCAACCGCAAGTACTACACCAAAACCAACCCCGCCATGGTCGCGACGGATCACGAGGAGCTAGACTACCAGGCAAGACGATAGCGAGCGTCAGGAGTAATGGGGTAGTGTACAGTGACAGCCGTGTAATACTTGTTGTGTCGCCCGAAGGAGCCGTAGCTGCCGCAGCAACCAGCTATCGCTCGAGGAAGGGCTACTTTCGCCCGTAGAAGTATTACCCCTCGAAGGCGAGGGATGGTGATATACCGTTCGCTGTACGTAGCCTCAGCAACAAGAAACAGCACACACACACCACACTTCAACCCAACCTGCGCGTGATCCCCACCCCTCCCCGCCCAACAACTGTCAGGTGCACCACAAGTGCAACCCGTTGAGCGCGTTCCACCACGACGATGTTTGGCTCCCCTTCAAGCCGCGGGAGCACGAGAGTACGCACGACGGCGGCCGATTCAACATGACTGGCTCTAGCGGGTGCATGCCCCTGTACGCGGGCCCCCCGAGAGTCACGGGGGTGGACCTTACCGTCACGGAGTCCCCCTTGGAATTTGAAGACGAACCGGAAGAGGCCAAGCAGCAGTGAGTTGTTCTGTCTTGTCTGCCACGGACGCCGAAGGCGGGCGAAAGCGGAAACTCTGGCGGGGGGGCGGGCGGGCGGGGGGCGGCTGTGTGGTGTCCCCCTTCCTCGCCTCCCTTTTTCCCTTCGTTCCCTCGTTGTCGTTGCAAACAAGCACGATTGTCCACTATCCGCGCTTCCTTTTTGTTCTTGTAACGGGATGGGCATTTCTGGTGTGGAACCGTGACATCGCGTCACGTGCCTCTCGTCCTTGCTTTGGTTTGTGTCCGCTTGCGTTGAAACGCCATATTTTTTGGGGAAAGCCATCGGTCCGGAAAAGATGGGGGGTACCTACGGGATGCGTGTTTCAGAATACTGTAGTTTTCAACAATAAAAATGCGACAGCAGACTAGAACGGCTGTGATTTTGTGATGTTGCGACCACAGCAACAAAAACTAGTTCACCTACAACAAAAACAAGTACTTTTATGTATACGCGCTCCCTGCGCTAACTACTTGTTTCTTTTCGTCTTTTTTACCATGTCATTTTTATTTCGGAACAGTATAATGTCGAAACTCGTGGCGACCAGCCTAGAGCAACTGTCGCGAATGTGCTGGGCGGTCAACTGGGCTCGCCTCGAGAAGGAGCAGTCGTCCAGTGCTGCGCTCGCGAAGCAGGGGAGGCCCAGGCCCCCCGTGGACGTGCGGATGAACTTTGTTTTGGGAGACGCCGTGGACACGTGCGACGCGATGTGTTTGCTTTCCTCCGAGGGCCTGGCCGCGTGGGGCAAAGCGCGCGATGGCCACGAGGTAGGCGGACGAAAAAACTGTCATTGACTTAATTTTTGTTCTCGTTGGTGTAGCGGTGATGGCGGCGAAATGCGAGCGAGACTAATAGGTTGTCGGGACAGATGTGCCGAAAGTCGGCGAGTTTGTCGTCTTCTGTTATCTCTCGAGTGGTCTGATCTCGTTCAAGCCGAGGGCATGATTTGCGCATGGTCTAACATTTATGGAATGCGAAACATGGGTACGCCTCTCCCCCCTCCCCATCCGGCGTCGCATCTTGCTATAGCGTTCGTGCATCTCTTTTTGACAATTTTAGTCGTGGTCCTCATGCTCTCCGTGGCTCCCTCCCTCCGCTCTTTGGCCTTGGACTTTTTTTATTTGCCTCTGATGCTTCCGCCACCACCCCTTTCGTCGGTGTTTGCCGGGGCTTGATGGCTGACCAATGCTGGGTGAAACAATCACTACGGCGACCGTTGATTGGTTTCATCTCCTGGTGCACGGGGCTTTGGACTGCTTGAAAATGGACGCATGCACGCCACAGCCGGGCAGAGTGTGCAGCTTCATGCCCAACATGTCCCTCTCCCCATGTCAACTGGAGCTTGCCGATCTGGACGGCCCCGCCAGGTGACAAACGAGGGTGCCGTACGTTGCTTGCTTGCCCGGCTCTTTCGCCCCCCCCCACCTCGGTGTTTGCCATCGGGGTTGGGTTTTCGTCGCTTGGCAACGACGTTGTAAAACAAGCCCCCCTTCCCCCTCCCCCTGGTGTTTGCCATCGGGGTTGGGTTTTCGTCGCTTGGCAACGACGTTGTAAAACAAGCCCCCCTTCCCCCTCCCCCTGGTGTTTGCCATCGGGGTTGGGTTATCGTCGCCTGGCAACGACGTTGTAAAACAAGCCAATTCACTTCGTGAACTCGGCAACCAGGTTACCG